AAAAACGTGTTTAATTAAAGATCTTTGACTTGGTATATATTATAAATTAGTTAAGTTAAATTATGATTAAGTTTGAAACTATCACACAAGTTATCCCATAATAAGAAAGCATGGAGCATTTGAAATACTGTGAGTGAATTTTCAAAACTCAACTCAGCCATGAATTCATGTTTTACAGTATTTCTGTAATATCTAAAGAGAGAAGAATGTGGTTGATGTTTATGTAACTGTTCATATCTGTCTGCTTTATTTCTAGAATGTATTTATCTGATTTACAAGATATTCTCCTCTCACCTATATTCTTAACAAACAAACATTTGCCAGACAGACATTATCATTTTCCAAATTCTACTTAATTAAAAATAAGTGTTTCAAAGTACTATATAATAATAATGTTGTATCAAATCTGTGGTTCTCCCCACCCATCCTTCTATAAGGGTCTCCAAGTAACATACATGTTTGGAAAGATCGAGAATAAGAGGTAGGAAGGGGTTATGAGAACCATGTATGTCAAGAATCGAAGATGACCAGTATTTACAAAAAGCACTACTGGCTTTAACTTTTCAAGACACATCATGATTTTTTTTCAGTTCAGCTTTGAGAACCTGCTGGGTAGAAATTAATAGCACACAACCAGAGAAAAATAAGCACAAAACAGTCACAGCAGTACAGATTATTTTAAAGAAATCTCAAACAAAAATGTATTAGAAACATTCAAAAGGAACTTCTGTTACCAATTTCTACAGTTTTTGTTCTGGTAATGTGCTTTAGAATCAAACCATCTGTTTATCTGCAAAAAACCTGTTCTGGAGATAACAAGTATTTTACAGCAATTAACTCAATCTGCTAAGCGGTCAGCAAAAAACAGATCGATTTGGTAACTCAAAAGATAAAAAAGCTTCTGCACTAACTCTCTCGACCACCCCCCTATCCCTTCCTCATCTGCACAATAGATTTAACCAAACCCTGTTGCCTTACTAAAAACAAGTGTGTGACCTAAAAAAGCATATCCATTTATTCAGCAAAACAGATTTATGGGTTCAGAAAAAACAAAGGGTAACATTTGGAAGAATAAAATTCACAAATATTGAAAAGATACATCTCAAAATTTCATAAACAAAATCAAGGATTTTTAAAAGATCATCCGAGAGTTTTTTGTGCGAGGCAGCATTTTTTTGTTACATATTACAAACACATTTTTAGCCTTATTAATTTTTATAAAATATTTCCAATATGCATAAACTTCCTTTACTGTTCAATAATTCTAAAATATTCTCCTACCTTTCACTTTGAGCCACAAAACATTTTGTTAAAGTGAAAAAAATATGTTTAAGTGAGGAACTAGCTTAATCTATATGTTGATACTGATTCTAGGCATTGCAATTATACTAACTGCTAACTGACATTACATTACCTTTAATTTACCTTAAAAGAGAGTTTCACATACAGTTATCACTTCTACCATCTAGGCTTTAGATTGTCTTACCTTTATGTTGAGATTACCTCCACTATATAAACATTTGCAAGTTTTTCTTGACTTGGTACCAAAATCACTGGCAGAAGAATTAGATATGACCAGAGCAACTTAGATAACACCTCAAAATATGAGGCTCTTGTTAAGTGCAAGCCCATCTACAGCAAATGGGAATACAAATCCCGATGCTAATTATTGCCGCATCAGTCTTTCTTTAGTAGCACTCAAACTGAGCAATCTAAGAGTCTCAAGTGTACAAGTTGAAAAAACAGAACTATCAATACTGATTAAAAAGATACACATGTCGGATTGCATGCTCCACTTCTAATGATCTCTACCTTGCGTGCAGAGTCTAGTTATGAGCTGAAGATGAAGCTCTCTTTTAAGAAGCGAAGTCGAATGAATGCAAAGGGTAAATTGTCTCTAAATAGCGATGCATCCCAAAATGAGTATACCATACCTCTTCATATCATAACTTTCCTTTTTGACAAAGTATGTACCATACATTGAACATTGATGTTTTCAATATCATGTAGTTTTTTCACCATTCTGAGCATATTTCAAGCATATTTGGTGCCAAAATTGTCAAAAACCAATCCCCTGGAATTTTTTAAAAAGTGACCTCCGCCCTTTGCAAAAGGTGGCTATGAGCCTGTAGAGTGAATCATTATTAAGGCAAGTTTAATTTACTTGGTTTATTATTTGTATTATTGTAATATTAATGAGTTCTTGCTCTTTATCATTGCAGATTTTGGCTCAATATTATTATCTAATTGTGTGTTGATCAGGAAAAAGGACTAGGTGCTTGCAAAACTCAAAATAAATTCAAAATCTTAAAATCATAACAAGAACAGGAAAAAAGGTTTGAATAGAGAGGTTTTCAGATGATAGAATAGGAAAGCTAAACATTAATCCAAAATGGCCTTAAAATCTGGCCACACTGACCAGCTTACATTCTGCATGTTTTGTCAGTTATCCATTGATGGGAAACAATGGCTAATGACCCCATCTATATTGACAAGAGAATTGACATATTGACAATATGGTTGTGCATTAGACTGAGACTGACACATTACTCTACTAAACACCAGCAATAATGTAAAGTGCTGCCATCTATTTATCTATTAAGGCCAAATATGAGAAACAAAATTCAAAACATGTACAGTTATACATGTCTTAGTGAACACCTGAGTCTAGTGAACACTTGTGTCAAGTGAACACATGTGCCTTGTGAACAACATATACTCCACTGACTTATTTATGAAATTGCCTCTCTGAAGTGAACACCTACCTACAGTGAGCACATTTTGTGGCTCCACACAGGTTTTACTGCACATGTACAGTATGTGGTAAGGAGGGAAAGGGTAATATTTTCAACCATTTGGAGTCAGTTCTAATTGAACTTATTTAAGTTGCCAAATTTTTGCTGGCTTTTGAATCAGATGTGACAATAATAATCTCCAAGTGGTACAACATAGGTAAACATCCTTCTCTGGGGTGAAAACAAGGCATAGGCATTAACATAACAAAATGTCACCACATGGTTGGTATAATTGTAAATGGTTACAAAAGTGTAAAGGGTAAAGTCATTAAAATACAACCACTTGCCATTTGTTACAGATGCTGAACCAAACTCTGAATGCCAAACACTAACCGCCAAATACCATCCACAAAAAAATTTGAAGACTATATCAATATTCCTTCTCAAGAGGAGGTCATACGCCTGTAAGGCATAACCCTATAAATTTTGAACCAAATCTGTCTACTGGTATTTGAGTTATCTCCCGGCCACACGAATGAATAAACAGATGAACAGACGAAAGGATGGCTTCTCTATATTCCTACTGGGATAATAACAGAACAGAAATGATCTTGCTCAAAGTAGAACACGTTAAAGCAAAACAAATGATTGAGTAATAAAATGGAATTTAGGTAGACCAAGTTAGAATAACAAATGTAACAAAGTAACTTGCACCTTTTTCTTAATCATATAGTACAGGGTGTCCAAAAAAAAACAGGACCGTAAGAAAGTTGAATTACTCGGTCAATTTTGCATATTTTGCCTTGAAATTTAAGAATTATTTAGTTCATTTAATGAGAATTTCGTTCTGAAAGTTTGATGATAATCTGTTCATTGTGTCAAAAACTACAGTCCTTTACAAAACATGCTCAAAGTGGGCACTTCTCTCTATGCACAAACGAATCCTGCGAACAAAGTTGTTAATGACCCTTACCTATACACATTAATGTGGATGGTAAATATTGGGGTAGTTATTGCCCTCTTAAGATTGTTAGGGGCCTGTCAGTATACACATCAGCTTTGAGAAATCCTCAAAGATAAAAATTTGGGGGGTTTAGATCAGGCGAATGAGCTGCCCATATGGTTTGCATTCTGCAACTGATGAGCTGACCACCAAAGCATTGCCTAAACCATTTCAGCATATCATTTGCAGTGTTGGGGTGGTATTGGCTTGTTGAATCCACTGCTTAATTATCTCCTTAGATGTCCCATTTGGTGCTTAGTGACCTCCAAAACTTGGTGAGAACTTACTGGTCCTTGTTCATGATGATAGCAAGTCCCCAGTCACCTTCGAACCAAAAGGGACTGATGATTCCATGTTACCTCATTGCCACCCAGGGAGTGCATTGTTCAGAATGCAATGGATGCTGTAACACTTCATCAGGAGGATGTAAGCCCCAGTAGCAATTGTTCTTTGAACAAACTTGTCAATTCAGAAAGACATGTGTGTAGGAGGATCATCAACAGCTTTGTTCGCCGGATTGAATTGTGCATAGAGATGAGATTTGCACATTTGGGGCATGTTTTGTTAGGAGCTGTAGTTTTTGACTCAATCAGTAGATTATTATCAAACTTTCACAACAAAATTCACATTGAATGAACTAAATAATTTTGAAATTTCAAGGCAAAATATGCAAAATTGACCGAGTTATTCAACTTTCTTACGGTCCTGTTTTTTTTTGGACACCCTGTATTAGAGATATAAACAATCCCAAAAGTGATCCAACTACGGCCCCCCTAATCTATCCACACTTACACAGTTACAACCAAAGTTGAAAAGAAGTTGAAAAGCAAAACACTGAGGAGAACTGATAAGATAAAAGAACATCAAATACTATAAAACCAATATTTTCTCTGAAGCCAGTAAAAAATGAGGGTAGCTCATAGACCTGCTATTCATATCACTTACATGACTTTTACTGGAGTTGTAGATCTAGGGAAATACATCCCTGAACTCAAGTGATCAAAGCGAATATAGCAAGCCCCTCCCCTAGATATGTTCCAAAATAAATATGGGAGACACAAAAAACTCAATTCTACCTTTGGAATAACTTTGAAACTAATAATTGGAACTTGGTTATCTTCCTTTACCATTTTGCCAGATAAGCTAAAAGCTAATTATTTTTGGGACGCTTCCGTAGCCGTTATTCTTAAAATGTCATCTAATGATAATATTAATACTACAGATTCATGGGTTGAAGACCTCAGAAAACAAACACATGTTATCATTTATACAAAATATATATGATGTATTATGTATAATTATGATTATCAAGCAGTTAACAAAATATTGTACTATAGATCTGTAGATACATGTACATTAATATAGTATTTTTAGACACCTTAATTTAATGAACAACTCTCTCTGATGAAAATGTTCTTTTAATTAATGTATCTCTCTCCTGAATTCTTTTTGGTGAACACATCTATTCAATGAACACCTCTTGTGAAAACCTCTCAAGATGTATATCTTTCATGAACTTTGCTAGTGAACACCTCTATCTCAAGTCAACAAGTCGATAAACCCCTCTCTAGTGAAAAAGACCATGTGTAGTATGGCAAGTGATTTTAGACGGTCATATCTTTCACCATGAGTACTTTCTGGGCATAAATATAGTGGTTTTTATTAAAACAATATTTTTTCTTTCAAGTGAAGTACCCATGATGATAAAAACATAAATCAAACAATTCGAAAAATTATGAATGGGGACCCCATGTCAACATTTTTTTCAAAATATTGAACCTATTTACTCAAAAGAGGATCTTCTTTTCCTGATTTTTATTGCATGAAAACATTATTCAACAAGGGGTCTAAGACATGTGCAAAAATAGAATGGTATTGAAAGTCTAGTTTTGAAGATATCAATTTTCGATGACCAAAATTATGCTGATAACAATGGATAGCACGAGTTTTTTCTATGGGAAAATAACATGGGATATGTGGTTTTTTAACTTTATTGCATTTCAATACCCATCCCCTTTTCAGAAATTGTTAATGTAGCGTAAAGGAGACTTTCGATATGTTTAAATTGAGAAAAACAAGATCCTCTTTTTAAAAAATAAGCCTAACATTTTTCAAAAAGTGCCAAGGTGGGCCCCTAATCCACCATAATGTTTCAGAGAGTTGGATTGATATTTTACTATCATAGGGACTTCACTTGAAAGAAAACATATTGCTTCAATAAAAGCCACTGTATGTATGCCCAGAAAGTACTCATGGTGAAAGATATGACTGTCTAAAATCACTTGCCATACTGCACGTGGTCTTTTGGCACTAGTAAACATCTCTCGTTTATTCTTCTTGGTAAAGAAAGAGTTTTCTGTTCATGTGCATGTATATTGGTTTATTTGCATTTACTATTATTTTGGGCGTTCTTTCTTTGGAGTCTTGCATCCAGTCTCAATAAATTACTTTTTGGATGACCTCTGACTCATGACCTTCTATGTCAATTACCCATATTCCCTTGAAAAGAACCGCCAATTTAGAATCAATGCAGACAAGATATACTGACAAATAAATGTTCTTGTGAGCTCATGCTATGGTTTTCGAAAAACGTTCATATTTTAAACAGGGTTAGATTACAATATTCGTTTTTGAAGAAAGTGTCTTCCACATAATGTTGACTATTAGGTTCCATCTCTAAACATGTAGAAATTTACATACACGAATTGATTATAATGATTAAATAATGATTAATAGGCACAGTTGGAATCTAAATGAGAAATAAGTGACATTATTGTATTCTTTTTCTGAGATTTATGATTGTCAAGTACCAAGGTGGTAAAACTTAAGAATATACAACTTTTGCCTTTCAATGCTGCATCCTATATTTACAGTTTCATTTCACTTCCCAGTAGTCCCCAGTTACATAATATTTCATGATTAAATGTCTTAGCCTTTGATTAATTGAGTATTCGTTTATGTGATAGCATTGATGCAGACAGGATTACAATGCAACACTTAATTAAAAAGAAAATTTTGCCATCAGTGTGAAATCGATCATCATTAAAATAACACTGATCTTCATTGAATTGATATTGAGCTTGAATTGACAACAACAAAACTCATACAGTATCATTAAAAAAGATTTGAAACATTTGGTATATAAAGCTATAACTAAATATTGTCTTTGTCACATTGTAATATACACTACTTTGCTATTTCATGAATATTTGTTCCACACAACCTCCGATCCTGTATTTCCTACTAAGATCTGCATTAAATTCAAATCTCAATACACGATTCCTTAGTCTCTCCAAGGGGCTATTGAGAAAGGCAAAGTTAAAGGGGGTGGGCATATGTGGTAGGTGTATGGCCCAAGAGTCTGGTAAAACAAGGAATTCATATCCAGCAGCTTTCAATTCCATTATAAAACTAACTTTGTTCATTCCATATGCATCAAAGCGTTCATCGTATAAAGGCACTTTATCATTTTTGCGGAGCACTACATATGGCTCGTATTTGTCCTGATAATTTTTGATCCTATATATTTTGCTATTGGTGTACCATCTTTGGTAATCTGTAGGTTTATGGGCATCTGGTGATTCTAGTATTCGAAATACTTCAATGTTAGACTGTTCATTCAAGACGATTTCAAGAAGCTCAGCTTTTGAATGTGCTAAGGGGTCTGTGGGCTCCGGGTCTTCCATATATTCAAAAGCGGGGACGACAAAAGCAGTTTTATCAAATGATTCGTGAGATCTTTTTTTGAAGTTAGCTTTTAATGTCATGTCAAATATTTCTTGGAAATTAGGTGACGGAAGAAAATCTGCATCAACAAGAAACATATACTCCGTTCGAACACTTCTAACTGCGGCATTACGCAACATGTTGATAGGATACCGCTCATCTGGGTGAATCCCATACATGACTGTGACATCACAATGGGGTCCAATTTTGATTCCTTGTAGTTTTTTATGGACATACTGCTCCTTCCATTGATTATTGGAGTCACCAGCTGGGACATAAATCGCGAGTGATATCGGTCCGTCCCAATTTTGAAGTATTTCAGCAGCAATGTTTAATCTATCCATTGAGAGTTGTGTTACTAAGGTAACCAAGCTTAACATGTGACTGTCAAATTTATCATTCGATATCAAAAATTGTTGCGTTTTAAATTTTGGCACTTTAGGGAGAGGAGAAGGCAACTGTGGACATTTTGAGATAAAATCGAAAGGTGTTAACTCACGTGGAATCTCATTTCTTTCTTGTAATCTGATTGGTTTCAAATTAATATCAGTGAATTTCACCAAACCAGCGTAGCCATAACAACCTAACATTATGGTAACACTAGTAACTTTAAGATCGCCTGGTGGTAACATATAATGTATCTCTGAATGCATGTAGAGATTTTCATCTGAAGGAGAAAAATTCAACTGTAAGGTGTGATTGCTAAAATCCATGAAACGAATCACAGCCACTGCACCATAGAAAAACTCAGTGTGACCCCTGTCAGGATTGGGAATTTTTTTGAGATATTTTCCAGAGCTTCTCACTGAGAAATAGAATCCCCGAAGTGGGGCTTCATTTAGTATTGGTATGAACTGATAGATGGCTCTGATGCTTTCAGGTTTACAGGATACGCTGAGAACCTTTGCACAGATTCCCCATTCCTGGTTGTCGCATTCTACCGCCTCCTTCCAGCGAACATGTGGCATCCACCAGCCTCGTTGTAAAGCTACATCCTTATTATCAACAAGTGTCGTAAATGTTAGGCTAAAATCCAAAGCCTTAGCTTCATCAAGTTCTTCGACTTCTGTGGCTCCTGGTACGCTCTTTGGTGTATCGTCAATATCAGTGTAGTGTATGTCACTAGCATTATGGAAAACCTTTTCATTGTTCTTGGAGATGTATAGATATATGATGAGCACGCTGATCATAGAAAGCATACAGAGGCCCCATAAGATTAACAGGAAGTTCGATTTCATGCCTCTATACCTGCGATAAGGAGCTTGGCCGAATCCAGTCGCTCGTCTCACTTTCAACAACATTTTACCATTCAACATTTTTATAAAATATGTGATCTGTCAAATGTTATCTGGTAGGCGCTCTATGATGTAATGAAGTCAGTCTATTATCTCACATTCAACAGATCCAAATGGAATGTTAAAATACACAATTCACAAAGGAAATACAGTACTCTCAGTAACAAAGCTCACACATCGCCATCCGCCGTACACTCATTCGGGAAGCGGGCGTAGTTCGTGCGCTGAGCGTTCGTTGGTCGCTCGCTATTCGCGCGCGATGCGGTCGTAGATCGCCAGCGCTCAATGCGCTGAGCGTCCGCTTCGCAGTCGTTCACCACCAGCGCAGTTGATGAGCATGTAAGATCCGGCCGTAGAATTCAATGGAACATTGCAACATTAATAACTGTAATCATTTTAAACTAGAATTCCAAGGGAGAAATGCAATTTGAAAGAAGTTATTACTTTCAACGCATTATTCATTATTTTCTATTTTTATTTACCTTTTATAGCAATTCATAATTTGAAAGAAGTTATTACTTTCAACGCATTATTCATCATTTTCTATTTTTATTTACCTTTTATAGTAATTCATAATTTGATTTGAAATATTTTAATGAAACGAACGGTTCAATAAAAATCGCGTAAAGATGCCTAAAACATAACGCTGAGCGTCCTTTTAGCAGTTAAGATCTCGGCCGTAGAATGTAATATGAAACTGTATAAATGCAACACTACGCTTTGTGATCGGATAAAATAAGGCATCGATTTCTGCAAGAAAATTCAACAAATCTAGAAGATTTTTTTTTCAAGATAAAGAGAAAGTTTACTCTTGAATTGCTTTAAGAATACAGTAGGCGCTGCAAACATCATGACATCTAATCAAAAGGTTCATCGTCACCAACGTGCAAAAGGCAATGTTTTTGCTATAAATCAGTGATCTACACGAGCCGAAAACAAATACTTATAAGGGACGTTATTATCACAAAACTAATGTTATTGCTTTCTTGTTAGTTTAATGTACATGTACACGTACCATACGAATGTACGTGTACACGTACCATACGAATGCGGTTGCCGTAAACGGGGAAGGGGGAGTGATACATACGATGGAACAAATTCACGAATTCGTATTTTTTAAAAGGAACTCATTAACTCAGAAGAGTGAGATGGGAAAATTTGGAGTAATTATATGAAATAAAATGAAGTAACATATTATTATCATGTCTTTAGACACATTACTCACCCCGTTCAATTTGTATAGGCCTATAACGCATGAAAACTTATTTTTAAAAGCAAGCAAGGACATTCATTTTGATGATCACTTTACTAACATGTATTTAAATCACAGGTCGTGTAGATCCCCGTGGCTTGATTTATAGCAAAAAATTGGCTTCAGACAGTGGGCGGAGCGGTCTCCCGATGTTTTCGTCCAGTACAGTTGTCAGAATTCCCGGGCGGAAAATACGCCCGGCAATACGTCTTTTAAAATCCCAATAGAGCTTTAATATATGTTATGGTATTTTTGATCACATGGTACTGAATCGACCAATAAAATCACACGGTTTCTAGCAATGATACTAGGCTATTATTAACATTGGGTACGCTATTCCAGTGAGCGAAGCAGTCTTCCGACGGCAAGCGGCTGACATTCTGAACAGCCTATTCCATGACACGTACAATTCTAGGGTTTTCTCTTGGTCCCTAGTGATATTTTGAGCTATAGGCCTAATGAGAGATTATACAAAAATTAAAAAATGGGGAAAATAGGGCGGGCAATCCAAACTTTAATAAATGGTCCATGATCATTGAATGGCCGCTTTGAACTCATTGTTGCACCTTTAATATGTTGTTTTTTATTATATGGTACTGTTTAATTGTTTACGGTAATAACTGATGTTGAGGTGTCGAGGTTTGGAGATCCTCGCCTGTCACGTGGATGGTCCGGGTTCGAGTCCAAGTCTGACATTTTTTCTTTTTTTTAGTAAATGGTTGGTTGTGCTTTGATTTTACGCTTAAAATACATTTATAAATGCGCTTACTTTATATTATATTAAAGCATTTATTATCCCTTCAGTTGTATGAAAATGAAAAATTATTGATGTTCTCATATTGCGTTTTGGTTAATGGCGAGCCTTTAACACTGGGTACGCTATTCCAGTGAAATCTATAATATGCAAATACAACTCCAGAAGACCGTAGAAGAGAACAGCAGGAAACTCGACCTTATCTTGAACCATTTTGAAATAAATGAAACTCCCAGAACAAGAACAACTTCTCCATCAGATGAAATATTTTCAGACACCTGCATTTGGAACGCAACTATAGAACAATTTTACAAGGTCAGTGAGACAAGAAGAGTGTCCTTTGACACACTCTCTGACTTATGTGAACCCCCCCCCCTATGATGGCCTACCTGATGTGAGCGATCCCTACACTATCGAGGCAGGAATTATCCAAGTAGAAAATTCTGCTTAAGCCGTAGTATAGTTTACAACATCAATGGATATAATTACACATTAAAATATACGTTGTTATTAAATTCAGAAACTTTCACGGCCGGAGCGTATTGTCGGATTTTAAACTTGATATTGTCTGATAGTCTCAGATATTGTTTATTGGATTGTAATCTAGATTCTTCTCCTATTTTTTTTATTTGGGAACGTATATCTTTTGTTATTATGTATGTATGTATCTTTTATTCCCGATTTCAAATCTCAGATCGGATTTACTCTTTATAAAGTTCAAAAGACGAGAGCGTTCGTTTAAATAAATAATTGAATAACGCAAACCACGTTCTTAAAGTTTTTATTCAGAATCGAATTTTATATTCAGTACTTAATTTATTTTATTAGTTACAGTGAAAAGCGGGCACATACAGGTTTGCTGCCAAGGACCGTATTTTGGGTTTATAACGGGGATATTGCTCGAGCTTGAAAATAAAAGGCATGTTCTTATACCTGTATTCTGTTCTTTGATTGTGTATGAAGTTGCGCTGCACGCCAAACGTTAATATTGTTAAAACACTTAAAATAAAACTTTATTCCTTTCAATTTACATAAAAAATGAAACAGATTAGATTCGAATTCCAGTCACACCGGCCACTGATCAAAGGAAGTACAAATATCTATCTATATGCTTGGTAAATTCTTCCGAGACAGACTTTTGCTATTTCAAAATTGAAATATGCCAAATTCCTATGAAAAAATCAAATAACCACGCGATCTTTTTCCCTGGGTTTTACTCTATTTAAAATTTATTTGAGTTTGTGATGATTGCGTTTGCTTCTCACGAGTTCATTGAAAAGTCCAGTAAAACTTCGGAGATCAAAAGACTAATTAGGCACCTGATTGCGAAAGTTTGATTGCATTTGATCGCCGGGATTTTACAAGCGTATTGTTTAAGAAGCGATCGTGTTTTTGGATCTTGATAACTTCTTATTATAAGTTAGGTTGGAACTGGAAGCAATGAGTATGTCGGCCTTTCTCAAGTCCACATAATGAAACAATACCCCTTTATATCAGTCCAATTGGGTTTTGCATAAACATACCAGTTTTATATTGCAAAGAGAACTATAATTAATAGCCTATATAAAAGCATCATGATAAACCATGGCATCTCATGTCTGCTCAGCATGTTTCAGGTGAAAAAGAAAGATACCAAGAGTAACAGAATGACATAAAAGGGTTTTGTTTGGTATTCAAAATAATTGTAAATAATATTTAATTCATCATACGATTGAATAATTATGATGCATCAATTAATACAATGTACATGAAATTCGTCTGTTTAATTCATTTCATTTCAGGATAGTGGGATGCTACGAGAGGGATAGCAGGAAGAGAGGCGAGGCCGAAGGGGTTGGTGCAAGCCTTCACTACAGACAGGAGTAAATGCATTGTGGAATTCGACGCAGTTCTGAAAAATATTTAGTTATAATCATTAATTCAATGAATGCATTCGACCATTTGCAACCACAACTGACTTTCGAATCCCAAGAGTCAGTGGGTTACTTGGCGTTCATGTTAATTTTCAGTTACTTGTTTCATTGTTTATATTTGAAAGTTAATAATTAAGGGTTTGCGTTATCTTTCAGATATGTATTAAGAGAGATTCAGCTACATACATTTAGCAAAACCTGATCTTTATACTAAACTAGTCAAATTTAAAGACAACTTTGAGAGATATACCCCAGACCCGTAGCCAGGATTTGCCAATGGGGGGGTCACTTTTTGATAAATTCCAGGAGGGGTTCACTTGTGACAATTTTGGTCCAAAAATGGCCAAAATCACTTAAAAATGCTCAGAAAACAGCAACATTTTGAGAAAATGTTTGGCCAGGGGGGTCGCCCGAACCCATCGAACCCCCTTCGCTACGGGCCTGTGCCCCAGGGAAAAATAAGTTTTACGCGTTCACCTAAAGAACGTGTAGCTTAACCTCTCTATTGTTTTATTACAGGTGGCGGCGATCGTGACAATTTCGAAGACAAAAAGCTCCATATTAGCAGTATTGAAATAGATTTATTGTTTTTGCATGTTACATAATATAAGCTTATATAGAGTTACAGTTTATAGCATGCTCTTTTTATTAATTTTGATATGAAAATGTTGCACTGCTGCCGCTGCAGATGTCTATTTCTTTTGATTATTTAGCAAATATTGCACTCTATCATGGTGAATTATACCTGTACATCTTTCAAAAGTGATACTACATGTACTAGTATTCCACGAATCCTCCCTGGCAAATCCTGACTAAGGGCCTGAGATAAAACGAAATATTTGTTTTATTATATGACTGTCCAGCTTACATTCTCAATAATACTAAATATATTAAATTATGATATAAATGAATGTTAGTGATGGAACTGAATGGGGGGATGAGATTCAGGCCCATAGTCAGTTTTTCTACATTTTGAGCAGTGAACACGTGCTTTTGGGCGAAAGTTTTCATTAGTTTTCATTGTTAAATGTGACCCCTGGAATTTTTCAAAAAGGTTTAGTTTCAGTGTGTTCAATGCTGAATGTTGATATTCATTTTGGAACACCACTACGACTGACCACTGCACTATGGCCCGCTGTTGCTCAAGTCATATAGTAAAATATAAGACTTCTAAACTAGTAGTTATACCCTTAGAACAAGGTGGTTATTGTG